CCCCAAAACCCCAAAACCCCTCTTCAAAGAATTTAGATTATATTCAAATATTAACTGAAATTAATATTAGAAGAATATGTACCAATCTATTTATTAATTGATATTTAATCAAATTATAGTCATTATTAATTTAGCATCAAAGTTACTCTACGAATGAATTGAAAGAGATCTAATCGTAGAGAAAAGATTTAAATTAAGAGTTATTTCGACGCTTTAAACTGTAGCCTTTCGATGACGTCTGAAGGAAATTGCTCTAAAATACAGAGCTATTAATCCCACTAGTATTGGTCAGTTTCCTAATTGATATAATTGAAGAACTTTTACTTCCACTTTCTTGGAAGTTTTCAGTGTTTATAGAATATAAGTTAAGAGAACTGTCTTCTTTAGCGAGTATGTCTTTTATATTTTAAGTGTTATAGTTTGGCCTTGCTCCAATAGCTTGTGTATTATCATCAATCATATTCCTTTTTAATCTGTCAAGCCGACTTGGAGCTACTTTTATTCCTTGCTGATAAAATAGATACAGAAGAGTAAACCCATTTAAGAAATCTAGGATTAGATACCAAAAAAACCTCTGATATTAAATAATTTGGTACATCAATTTGTTATAATCATCTAAGTCTTGCAAAATGAAATAACTCAATGTGGCCTGGGATAATACATCGATGGCATTTAAACTGACAATAAAATATATCCAAATAATGATAAACTTCTCAAATAAACCAAAGTCTGCCTTAGCATCTTTAAGCCTTAGTTTTAGTCTTTTCATTATTATAAAGTATTTTATTATCACCACTAGAAAGTAAAGTAGGTAGGCATCTAAGAAGCACTTGAGAAATTTAGTAATAATGTAGAGATCTACTATAAATGTGAATCCTGATTCCGTTTTATTGAATACATATCATCTTACGTATAGAGTTGACTGTACCATAAAGAAAATGCTCTAAATCAAGATATATATGTACTTCGCTTTGCGAATATAAGATTTTCTTTATTGATACTCATCTACTGATTCACTTACTAAAGTAGCATGCACATATTTTAGTTCGAAAAAGTAGAAATAAAGGATAATTGTAATGACGAATGTTGAAATTAGGTCTGGTATTATTATGTAGCTTAAAGATTTTTCACTATCTGGATCCAACTCTCTCACAAGCCAATTTATCAATCTTACAAATATTTGAATTGCATAAAAGAAAATTATCATTATCGATGACTTATCTGTTTTGCATTTAATTACTTTGAGCACAAATAAGGCTGTTAGATTAAAAATTGATAGAAAGATTAAGCTTAAAAATAAGCAAAAAGTGTTTACAAAGCTTTATTCCATTATAATTTATTAAAACAAAAAAATAATCATTTCTCTAGTTATGATCCATCCTTCTGGGGTTTTGGGGTTTTGGGG